TTAAATATTTGGCCATGAGACCGGTTGTCTAGGAGGAGGTGGATAGGCCCACTCATCCTTTTTTTTAAAATGAAAAAACGAAAAACGAAAAAGAAAAAGACAAAGTTCACCTAGAAGTAGAAGCGTTTTAGGTGAACGGCATTGCAACTGTTGTTGACATCCTTGCCCTCGGGGGTGAGCTTGCCATGCCACTTGACGGTGGATCCCATTCCTTTCATTATTGCTATGACCTGCGTTGGTTTGACGTTGAGGTTGTACTCTGGTATTTTGTGTTGGTTTGATCCGAACTGCCTAATATCGTTTCTCTCGGGCTAGCGATAATATGGCTTTCTGACTTAGCCTGTATTACGTGCCAGGGGTTGGTACCAATCTCCGCTCTGGCTTCCTGTCATTCTGCCTTGATTCATACCTGGAATGAGCTGCTCGATTCATCTCGTCTTCTTCCCATCTTATTTGGGTCATTGCCCAGGCTAAAGCGTCTTCCGTTGTGGTGCAACCTAGCTTCGTAAGTTCTTTGTACAGTTCTCCGTCCGGTAGGAGGCCTTTCCTAAAAGCGTCCATAGCTGTCTCGGGGCTACACGATGGGATAGAGATCTTTTCTTTGTTGAATCTGTTAACATATTCTCTCAGTGGCTCTCCCCTTCTCTTGTATATTCGGTATCGGTCAGTCGACAGTTTCTCTAGTTTCTTGCTGCTGGCGAACTGTTCCACGAAGGTGTCAGTAAGCTGGGCGAATGAGTCGATGGATCTATTCAAGAGGTTCGTATACCATTGGAGTGCTGGGCCGGATAAGCTCGAACCGAAACTTTTGCACATGTAGGCTTCCCTAAGCGGTCGGGGTATCGAGACGGTGAACATCCGTTGTTTGTACGAGGCTATGTGATCGTCCGGATCGGTTGTGCTGTCGTACATTTTCATGTTAGGGATAGTGAACTTCTGTGGCAAGTCGGCTAAGGCGATCTTGTCCACGAAGGGTGAATCCGCGTAACAATGGGGCCTGCTCTTCTTGGTTGGGACCGGCATTCCTGGAATGCGTCGCATCACTGCTTCCACATCGGCCAATCTCTTGGCTAACACCTGTTCCATAGGAGAAGGGGACACCACTAGGTCATCCCGCGTGATCGGGTCAGCATTTGCACTTATCTTTGGTACATTCCGTTGGGTCATCCCTCTTGGGTAGGCTGACGAGTCCCTTCGTGCGTTCCTTGGTAGCATAAGTCTTCGGTCATTCCTTCTGGTTGGATGACTCCCAGGGTAACTGTTCTGGTATTTCGCCCTACATGGATGGTCAGGGGAGTCCTCTGATAGTCATTCAGTTGATTAGGATGGATGGGCTTGGGTGCTGTTGGTTTTGTTTGGCCGTTCATCCCGCGGGGATGAGCCGAGCCGAGCCGAGCCGAGCCGAGCCGAGTGGAGTATGTGTTGGGATGGTTAGATTGAGCAGGTCTTGTGGATGAGGGCTCTCGGCTACCGGATCGTCTTGGTCTTGATGTTGGGATGAATCGGTTGATTGGTGCTCTTCAGGCATAACTTTATCTCCATGAATTAGGACAGAATTGTCGACCGCAAACAGGTTTAAGGGACGGGGCCTTTTGCCAGAGGCCGAGGGTCGAGGCTCCGGCGTAAGCAGAGGTTGCATGGGCGGAACAGGGGTGCGGAACCAATTGAGGGGTGTTTGGCCGGGAAGGAACTCTAGGTCACAGAATTGACTTACCTTCTCCTTGAGGGATTGGTTTTCTGACTTGATGGACACGTTTTCTGTCCTAATCGCATTGTTCTCAGCTTCCAATGCCGCTACCTTGTCCAAGTTATGTTGCATGACAGCAGTTAGAGCTTCCAGTTTGGCCTCGAGGCCGGGGTTAGCGTTATCGAAGTTGTTAGCCATGGAATGTTCCTTCACGTAGCAAGGTTCGGTGAGCCGAATGATTGCTAGAGGCCTCACGGTGGGCTCCAAACTATAGACGTAAAAATCTACCTGTGCGGAAAGGGGGTCTGATCCCGTGAAGATGAGGCCACTAGCGATCTGCTGTACCTGCACACGTAGAAAAACACATGCGTGAAGCGAACGGGAAACACCGAGGCAGTGTTTGCCGTAGGCACTCCGACGCTCAAGTCAGCAAGGCTGAAAGGCTAATATAGTGAGGGCTAGAGAGTAAGAGGTTACCGGAAGTCTAGTCGGGGACTATGACTATGGCGGTGATGTAAAGCTCTCGAGGAGGAGCTTCGGGTGTGAAGGTGTAATCTTTCCTCCTCTGTGAGAGGGCTGGCCTCTGTTTATATAGTGACTGTCTGGTCTCCCAATCCTGGTAGGAGTAGGAGTCCTAATGTGACTCTAGTGCAAACCCTAGAAGAATTAGGGCCGTGGTAAGCTGTCTTACCAGTGTCCGAATAGGAAGGTGATTATGATCAAGAAAGTGTTCTGAACAGGAAAATGACTTCGAATAGGAGATTGATCAGGAACAGGAATATGATCAATGGGTCGTGGGCTCGGAACTCGCCTATAAACCCAAGAAGTGAGCTGGAACTGGGAGGCCGGTACCCAGATAGTTTGGGTCGGCCATATTTCGTATCAAATGGGACCGATCTGGCTTGGGCCTCTTTAGGACTGGGCCCGGTCTTTCCTTTACTAGTGGTCCTGTTTGCTTATTTGGGCCAAGGGCGATTTTTGGCCCTAACAAAAAGAAAAGATGGAGTTTAGAGGAAGAGGAAGCTTAAGGATTGACGTTGAAAAATATGTTTTTCTGTTTTGACCGTCTTGCCCTTTTTTAGAATGGATTTTTCTAATGGAACATAACGATCGGTGAGAAAGTGTTGTTTTGAAACTTGACAGGTAAGAAAGTGTAGTTTTGCCAAACTTTAGGTGGGAAAATGTCGTTCTCCCATTTTAAAATATAAATTAGGTATACTTATTAACGGGGGCCACTAAAAATTCTATAGGGGCTAAAAATTAGTTTTTTTTTTTTCTTTTGTGACGTATGGATAGACCTTGCAAAACGGGTGGGTGGGCCGGGTCATCACGGGTATGGGTCCAATATGGGCGAGTTATATAGGTCTAAAAAATTAAACCCGTACCCTACCCTATGCGGGTATAGGTGGACCCGCAGGTACTTGTTTTACATACTAGTTTTACTTATTTCTTGAACATCGAAAAGCTACTGAAGTCAACTATTTTTTCATACATTTTCTTAGCAACCAAACAAACCTAGGAAAATGAAAGAACTAAATAATACAACTGAAACTACCTCAAAACTAAACAATCAACTCCCAGTTTCTGATCATCTCAATCGAACAACAAAGCAACAGTTACATTTCGACGACAAGTGTTTAATGCGTGAATAATAAAAGCAAGTGATGTTTAAAACTAAGAGAAAGAAAGCGAAGAAATTTACTGATCGGCGACGGTGACGACGACGATGTGATACAGTGAGAGAGGAGAGCCGCGAGTCTTGCGACGGTGACGACGACGATGTGATACAGTGAGAGAGGAGAGCCGCGAGTCTTGCGACGGTGAGAGAGAGGAGATGACGAGTCGACGACGTGAGAGAGAAGAGATGACAAGCCGACGACATGGTATGTGAGAGAGAGGAGTTCAGAGATGGCGACGTTGCGACGATGGGACTGGGATGACTGAATGTGAGAGAGAAGAGATGACAAGCCGACGATGGTGGGACTGGGATGACAGATGACTGTGAGAGAATGACTGAATGTGAATGAGTATGAGAGATTGAGAGTTAGGGATTTCCCCTGTTTTCTTTTAACAAAAAACGAGTACCCGCAGGTTTACTCGTGTTACCCCTTAATAATACGGGTCGGGTCGAGTAAGGGTTGACCCGCAGGTCTGGATCCGTTTTGCCAGGTCTACATATGGAGGAGGCAGAGAGGGTGGATCCAATGTGAATAAATTTAATTGATTGAGAAAATAATAATAATAAAAAGAAAGAAAAATCCCTAACGTAATAGTTGAAGAAGAATTATTTTGAAAATAGCTTACGTTTTTTTAATTTTACTATTTAAATTTATTTTTCAATAATAAATATTTGTCAAATAATAAAAATTGTTTTCAAATTAAAAGCTATAGAAAACCATGTTTAATCATTTTCTAATTTTACACTAGTTTTAAGATTGTATTTGGAAACTGTTTTCTAAAAACTATTTTACTCATTTTTATAAGAGTTTTTGCATAATTTGTTTTAAAAAACAAAAAACTAATAATAATTATGTCCCTTTTGAATGAGTTTTTGGAAACGTTGTGAGCATATTAATAATAGCTTTTGTTAGCATTCATTAAGATGTGAAAAATGAAGAGTAATTCTTGTCTTCAGATTTGGAAAATGAAGATGAGTGAAAAAGAGGCAGGAGAAATAAAAGAAAATTAATAAAGGGATTTAAGTTCCTCCAGACACTGATAAGGCTGATAAAAATAATAATAAAACTTGATCGGAATGTTGAAGGAGAATATTTTTTTCTTTCAAAATCAAAGCTGGCACTGGATCAATTTGCAACGAGACAAACAGCCATAACATGCACACACCCTGGACTTTAATTTACATTCTTTATTTTTCATACACTTATAAAGAACCACCGACGTACGTTATCAGCAGAGGGTGAGCGTGTGGAGTAACATAGATAGACCCATAATTTGTAACTGTATGAATGACCCACCAAAAAGGTCGTGAAAAAAAATCCAAGCACTCCATTACAAAGATTGTCGGGACCCATAAATAATTACCTATTAAAAGCTCTTATTCAATTTGAAATGTACGAGATTGAAGATGCTAAACCCTATTTACTTCAAATTTAACCAAAGTGGGAGAGAGAGAGAGAGGCGGGGAAATGCCATTACCAAAGCAGGAAACAAAGAACAATGAAATTATAATAATAAATATTTAAAAAAAAAAAATTGCATATGTTTAGGTGCTTTATCGACAATAAGGACCGTTAAACAAAGGCATCCAGTATATACAGTGGGGAACAGACATGCTTATGCGCGGAATCCAGACGCACTCTTAACTATATTTTATTAATACCCTTCTGAAATCCGGTCCGAACGGTCTCACTTACTCCTGAGTCCCGAGTCCTGACACTCAACTCACCCTACATCCAACCCAACCCAACCCAACCCAAAGGGTTCTCTCTCTCTCTCCGTCTCTCGAGCTCCGAGAGAAGCAAAATCTAAAAGCATACAAGGACACACACAGACTGACAGACAAAGACGTTACTCTAGACCAGAAGCACGTTACAACTTCAAAAGCTCCGCCAATACAAGAGCAAAGTGAAGCCAAGTTGAAGATAAAAACACTTTGTTTTGCTCAGCTCTGAGAGAAGGGCGATTTTCAGCAATGGCTAGAGGATTTCAGCTTACTTTTGCCATTTCTTTGTTGTTTCTGCTTCTGGGTATGTTTTTTTTTTTTTTTTTTTTCTTCTGTTTCTCTCCCTCATACTTTGTATCCACTTGTTTTTACATCCATTTGTTCTACTACTGCTTCAGTTTTCTTCTTTTCTCCATCTAACAAGATCTTTATTTTCTGGGGCCTTTGATTTTGAAGGGTAACATGCTTTTCAATAATCAAATCTGTGTGCCTCAACTATTTTTCTTTTTCTTTTGGCACAGTTAACCTCTTTCATTTTCTCTATCTTTTTTCCTAATTGGCTTCTTCTGTAATGCAGTACAAACTTTTTCTTGAAGAAATTTTGAAGTACCAATGGTTTGCATTTTCTTTATCAGGAGTTGATTAGCTAACCTGTAATATGTTCCTCTCTCTCTCTCTTTGATAAGGTGTTACATTTCTTCATTCTTTAACGTGCCACCAAACGATAATACCTTTTTTTTCCCAACAAAAAAACAGGGTAAAATCAAAAGCATTGCGACTAGAAGTTTCCTGCCACTAATTTGGTAAAAAAATTTCGAAATATTATACATGCATTTATAGTCTTACCTATGGTAGGTAGAGTTTCAAATTGATGGACGGCTAGATTGCAATAATCTAGCTTGTGGACCCTCTTGTGATTTTGTTTGATATGTATGTTTTACTTACAACAATGTGATACGCTCTTCTACTTCAGGTGTGTTATCCTCAGTTATTGTGAGAGCATTATTGTCTTTTTACAAGCTTTCATATTTCTAAAAGAGTAAAACTGCTACATTGGGTAAACTTGTGTTTTAGAAGTCATGTATACCTTATCTTATGTTTCGTCAAGTAGTTCATTCTTTCCTTAATGTAGTATTTGATCACAGTGGCGGAATTTGCTGTCGAGGCACTTTTGACTTATGAAATTTAACTTTTCCATAACTAGTTTTGTTGCTCATTATGCCATTGTAACTTTAATAGCTGTGGCTGATCTGAATTTAAGAGGGATGGTTAAATGTGATGGTTCTCCCTGAGTTTCTGGGTAATTAACCTATTAAAGCTTGATTTTACTCCGTTGGAGATGTATGTTTCATGAATAAGTAGTTCAGTTGTGTAAAAGTATATATGTGGTCTGGTAGACTCCATCTCTAACTTCATAATTGAATTGATGTATATGATGGAAAGTTAGCTGACTGGGGTCTCATATGTTTTATGAAGAAAAACCAGTTTTGGGAATTTTCCATGTAGACAATGAATACTCAAGAATGTTCATATTGCAAAAGATGTTTGAAACAAGTTCCCTGAAGTATCGTAATTATTCTCACTGGCACAATGTCAGTCAGTTTGTAGAATGCAACACTAGTTGATGTTCCTCCAAAGTCGTGGGTTTCTGTGGGACAAGAAAAGCAATCACTTTTACCTATCATTACAAATGTAACTCACATCTTTTAGTTGCACAAATGAGAACTTCTCACGTGTTCTCTTGTTAGTGTGTGTGGGCTTGTTTAAATTTTATCAGCAGTTTAATTGGGATAATATGTCTTGTCATATTGTGGCAGGTTTTTGCCGAGGAAGTACGGTTGGAGTTTGCTATGGAAGAAATGCTGATGACCTCCCAACACCTGATAAAGTAGCACAGCTGGTTCAACAACATAACATCAAATATCTAAGGATCTATGATTCTAATATCCAGGTCCTCAAAGCTTTTGCAAATACTGGAGTTGAACTCATGATTGGGGTCCCAAATTCAGATTTATTGCCATTTTCACAGTTCCAATCCAATGCAGAAACCTGGCTGAAGAACAGCATCCTTCCATACTATCCAGCCACTAAGATCACATACATAACTGTTGGTGCTGAAGTCACAGAAATCCCCGGTAATACCTCTAAACTAGTTGTGCCTGCAATGCAAAATGTCCTCGCGGCATTAAAAAAAGCTGGTCTGCAGAAAAGGATTAAAGTTTCAACTACCCATTCCCTTGGGGTTTTGTCCCGATCATTCCCACCTTCTGCAGGGGCCTTTAATAGCAGCTTTGCATTTTTCCTGAAACCCATGCTGGAATTCCTTGCCGAGAACCAGTCACCTTTTATGATAGATATATATCCATACTATGCATATAGAGATTCTTCCACCAATGTGTCTCTAGATTATGCTCTATTTCAGTCATCCTCAGAAGTCATAGATCCGAACACTGGCTTGCTTTACACAAACATGTTTGATGCACAGATTGATGCTCTTTACTTTGCACTTATGGCTCTGAATTTCCGAACAATCAAGGTTATGGTAACTGAAACTGGCTGGCCCTCCAAAGGTTCACCAAAAGAGACGGCTGCAACTCCTGATAATGCACAGACTTATAACACCAATCTGATCCGACATGTCATAAATGACACAGGCACTCCTGCAAAGGCTGGACAGGAGCTAGATGTGTATATTTTCTCATTGTTCAATGAGAACAGGAAACCTGGGTTGGAATCTGAGAGAAATTGGGGTTTGTTTTATCCAGACCAGACAAGCGTCTATAACCTGGATTTAACTGGGAAAGGAGCAGTTGATATGACACCAGATTCAAATGTTACTAGTCTGAATGGAACTACATGGTGCATAGCCTCCACCAAGGCTTCTGAAAAGGATTTGCAGAGTGCATTAGATTGGGCATGCGGCCCTGGGAATGTGGACTGCTCTGCTATTCAGCCTAGCCAGCCTTGTTTTGAACCAGATACTCTACTCTCTCATGCATCTTTCGCATTCAACAGTTACTACCAGCAGAATGGGGCTTCCGATATTGCTTGTAGTTTTGGAGGGAAAGGGGTCAAAGTTGACAAAAATCCAAGTATGTAATTCCACATCCAACTTATTCATTGCTTCAATTGTGTTTGGAGCCTCTTCGTGGATCAATTAACGTGCATTTTCTTTTTTGTGCAGGCTATGACAATTGCTTGTATATGACCGCGGGGTAAGTTCAATACCTCAGAGCAGCCTGTTTAAAAATTTTGTGTAGTCATACTCCATAGACTAAAACTTGTTTTGCAATAAACTTACAGGGCAAACAAAACTGCAGCCAGCAGCAATACAACAGCGATATCTTCTACTTCTTCCTCTGCACGTAATGTGGCCTTTACATGGACTACAAGTTTTTTACTTGTGACTTTTCTGTCAATCCTCTTGAATATTGAAGGATCTGTGAAGAGTTCGATACTAATATGAGAGTGGTGCCTCTCTGAGTTGGAGGAGAAATACTGATCTGGACAATTTTCCGTAGAAGTTTTGATGGGAGAAAATGTAACTACAGTGGAGGAATTCGCCCTCTGGTTTTGTATGATATTTGATAGCTATCACCGCTTCATTCCAGTAGTTAAGATTAATTATATGTTTTTGCACATATCTTGCAGCTTTTGATTGTTGCATATTGCTTGTATTAAAGGGACTGCAATTTCGAGTATGCTGTTTCAGATTTAACAATATTTAATGCCTTGGCTGCTTCTCCCCACTAAAACGGCTTTAAGGGATTCTTCAAAACCAAATCGTTGAAAATGAAATTCTTCTTTCTTCAAAATCAAATCACAAAAAAGTGAAATCGTTCTTATCTTAAACAGTGTAGGGATTAATTCGTAATTCTGCTAGAAAGGACTATTTTGTCGTTGAGAGGTTATTTTGACCGAATAAAAAATTAAATCATTGGCTGTTAAAGCAGTCAGCCATGTAGCTCTCTGGCGCACCTATATCGAGTATACGTCATGGGCATTTCTTAGTTTCGACTTTTCAGTTAGNTAATGCCTTCTTCTCGCCACTAAAATGGCTTCAAGGGATTCTTCAAAACCAAATCGTTGAATATGAAATTCTTCTTTGTCAAAATCAAATCACAAAAGGTAAAATCATTCTCATCTTAGACTTAAACAGTGTAGGGACTAATTTGTCATTCTGCTAGAAAGGACTATTTTTGTCGTTGAGAGGTTATTTTGACCGAATAAAAAATTAAATCATTGGCTGTTAAAGCAGTCAGCCATGTAGCTCTCTGGCGCACCTATATCGAGTATACGTCATGGGCATTTCTTAGTTTCGACTTTTCAGTTAGGGAGAGCTCTTAGTTTCGACTTTTCAGTTAGGAAGAGCGACTTGTGCATACACAAGGTTTGTCATAACGATAAGTTTGTATCCAAAAGGTTTTGAAACAATAAATAGGTATCTTTCGTCATGTTCTGATTTCTGTTTATTAATAGTAAAAAGATTAAAATACCCTTGAAAGTTTGAATTTTAGTTTTTTATAAATTTAAAAATTTCTAAAAACCTCTTAGGTTTACAAATTTAACTAAATACCTCAATATATAAAATTTTTGTAAAATAATAAAAATACCCCCGTCACCTGCAGTGTCAAATTCCGGCCACCACCGCCGGAATCTGGTCTGGAAGTTGCGTTACGACACAGACCCGTCGGATCTGTGTCGTAACGTGCCGATCTTGCCTTTTCCGGTCAGATCTGCCACAGATCTAGCCGGAAAAAGCCAGATCTAGTCGTCGAAACAGCAGTCAGATCTGGCCTTTTCCGGCCAGATCTAGCCGTCGACGCCGCAGATGGAGTTTTGTGACGTCGACGGCCAGATCTAGCCGTAGATTTGGCCTTTTTCGGCCAGATCAGCCACGGATCTGGCCAGAAAAAGCCAGATCGACGCGTTACGACACAGATCCGACTGGTCTGTGTCGTAACACAACTTTCCGGCCAGATTTCGATGGTGGTGGCCGAAATCTGGCATTGCGACTGGCGAGGGTGTTTTTGTTATTTTACAAAAATTTTATATATTGGGGTATTTAGTTAAATTTGTAAACCTAGGTTGTTTTTTAGAAATTTTTAAATTTATAAATAACTAAAATTCAAACTTTTAAGGGTATTTTAGTCTTTTCACTATTAATAAACAGAAATCACTAACAGAACATGACGAAAGATACCTATTTGTCGTTTCAAAACATTTTGGATACTAACTTATTATTATGACAAACCTTGGGTCTGCACAAGTGGTTCGCCCTTTCAGTTACCCTGAAAGAACTTGCAATGGTGCCACTGATGTCATGAGCCTCTGATATTGTCACCCATTTCGAAATTTAAATATTGCTCTAATTGACAAAGCAAAGGGATTACTTTATGTCACCAAAGCCAGCTGGTTGTTGCAACTTTCACTTTCTACTTTCATCTTCTCCTTTAGCTTCACAAACACAACTCGATAATTCCTCAAACTTTGTCCTAACTCCGACTCGAAATTTCCTCAATTTTTCAGTATTCTAAGAATACTGAGGATCTGGATCCCTTGAAAGGGGCTTTGCTTTCAACCGAAGAAGAACAGATAGAATCCATTGTTCATAGCCCAAAACACAAGGGTCAGAGATAGATTGTTAACAAATATAATATAAATATATCTTAACCATCCATCATGATAGTGGGTTACATGTATTCCAATGACCAAGATAAACGCATATAGAAAACGAAGAATACTTTAAAATTTAATGACAATCAAATCAACACATCCATTAGATATGTTCCACTATAATATTCATAAGATAACTCACTTGACAACCACAATCATACATCAAAGTAAGCCATCATATCCATCAATTTCACAGGCACCAAACTATTTCTTTCCACACAGAATTCCCGTGACTTTGAATACTTCCAAATATTATTACATTGCAGCTCGGAAGATGCAAGTTTGTAGAGAAGCCAAGAAGAAGTGAAACAAATAACAGACATACAAACCAACTAAAGACCTTGTTCCACAAGATAATCACCAAGCCTTTCCACAATCATGTTGCACTGTCCAGGAGTCATTGGCTCATCATAGATACCAATAACGAAGGCCATATTGGTCTTCTTGACAGTAACACCACCAGGTCCCTGAAATTAAAATGAAACTAGTCAACAATCAGCTATGAAACAAAACCAAATGTAAGAGGCAACTTAACGTTCCAACATAACAGCATCAGGTGAGAAAGGATAATTTATTCACCTAACTATCTAGTTCTAGATTATTGTACTTCTAGGCAACACTTAGTCCATGGAAGGCACGAGCTAATTATTCAATAATCAAAACCCACTCATTTAGTTGTTTAGAATCATATAAGTTTTAAAGAACTCGCAACTGCACATTAAGGCTTTCAGAAGCATAATGAACAGAGGAAAACCAAAAAAAAAAAAAAAAGATCAGATATAAGTTCACTACCTTCTTTCCCCGAATGACAGCTCCTGCCTCCCCTTGGATCACCATATACTTTGTCCCACCAAGATATAGACCAGTTGGTGCAAGTGAACCAGGTTCATTGAAGTCATTATTGATGCCAGTAACTTCTTCAGGCTTTAACTATAAAAGATCACAACAAAAACATTATGTAATGGGTTGATATGAAAACAACAACATGCATAGCATTTTAAGAATATGATTCATCATGAGCTATTTTGAGCCCCTTTGGAGCCTGACAAGCAAGCTTTGAAAACCAAAACAAAACAATGAATAATAGTTACCATCAAAGGAGTAGAAAATATCTGCAGGGATCCTCATACAGGTGTGCAATCGGGTTTCCTATCTTTTTTTTTTTTTTTTTTTTTTTTTTGGGAAAAAATAAAATAGAGCAAGAAACAAATAAACTGACCTACAAAGAGCATTTTTATTTCCTCATCGTTTCGAATAATTATCATGTGCGATAGGTAAGATCAATCTTAACACGTGAATCCATTTTTTAACCTTCAAACCAGGGATATAGAGCCTCATCCTCCACAACTAAATCTACATGTTCTCAGCTAAATCAACGAACAAGAAAGAGAAACACAAAGAAAGCTAGGCCAATCTATAAAGAAAAAAGGACATGCAGTACTCATTTCCATGAACTACGACCCTATTTTTGACAGGACAGCAAGAACCAGATTGATTGAATCAGCAAAAATCATTGTCAGTTGACCTCAACCAAACCCAAATATCAAATCACCAATACCTCACATTACGGATCCAATCAAAATCAATCATCCATAGTTCCATACGGATCAGTATACATAAACAAGAAACAAAAAAAATATCAACTCAATAAAGAGTGAATAAGATCAGAGCGACGAAGAAAACCAAAAGCAAACACAGCACAATAAAATTCTCCAACTTTAATAAGAAAAATAGTGAAAACCTGAGGGAAGTTAGCGCTCTGGGCCCAAACGCTGCCGTCCTGGCCGAGGATAGCAGCAGCAGTGAGGTGGTTGCCCTCTATATCGCACATGAGATGGTCATCGACATAAGCTTGCCACGACATCTTCTTCTTGTAAGAGAGTTTCCTAGATTTGATTTGGGTGTGTAATTGCTGTAGATTTAACCAGTATTGTATTGAGAGCGTTGGTTTGGTGATGAAAGCTTTGAGTAAAGAGAGACCAGACACACAGATATAGCAACGCGTTGAGACAACGAGATCTACTTCTCCAAATTAAAATAAATCTATTTTTTTTTCGTGCTATTCTTTTTCTCTCCTTTACCGACTCAATTATTTATTAATATTATCCCATATTTATTTATTTATTATAATTACAATCAAGAAAGCAATTAAAGAGCGATTAATTTTTATTTTTTATCTTCACTTTAAAATATTTATTACAAACCATTAATTTACTTAAAAAAACTGTTATAATTACAAAATATCATTTTCCCAATTGTAAGATGTCCACTTCTTTCCTAAATTAGAAATCCCTTATTAGGAGAGCTTTCGTAATTTTAATATTTTAAGAGGATTTTTTTATAATTTTTAAGGGGTGTTTAATATTTTTAAAAGGTTTTTAATATTTGATTTTTTTTTTTTAATGCCGTTTGATGGTTAAGAGGAGTTTTTTATTTTATTTTTTAAGAAAAATAGATAAATTTTATTTTAAATGAGCTAATAAAAAAATTGAAATAAGAATGAATCTCACGTGAAACTTATAAATCTTTAAATAAATAAACTATTTTTTTTCTACTCAAATAATAGTTTAATGACATTTTCTCACTCACATATTTTTAAAATATCACTTTATTACATAAATTTATATTTTGTTTTCGATTTTGACATCGTTACAACCCTACATCATCAACAATCTCTTCTCTGATCATCACTTATCAAATCCCCTTAAGCCATATTTTCCTGACCTGACCAATTGTCGATAATCAAGTAAGTAGGGCTTATATAACTGTCCCTCTAAATTCAAATTTCGATCAATCCCAACCACCAAAATCTAATCTTTCACCGTCAAAAAATTTATCAGTTTCCTCTCTTCAAAAGCTCTTATAATTTGGACTAAGTTTGCTCTCTTTTCATCTTTAGAATATAAATATAAATAATAAAATAATATTTTAAAAATACGTAAATAAAAAAAAAAGTCATTAAATCATTATTTAGTTAGGAAAAAATCGTTATATTTAAATTGCACAATTATCCATACTCATTCATACACTTACGTTTCTTTATTTAAAAATAATAATAATAATTAGAGAGACGGTCTCACTCTTAATCAATATCAAGCTTTATCTTTTCTTCTTTTTGTTTTAAAAAAAAGGCAAAATTGAAAGGGGATTCGCTGGCCATCACTTTCCAACCATGGATTGGCATTGGGTTGAGGCCTTGAGGGGATATACCTTACGAGTTGAGATTGGAATGCTTCAGCTCCACCACTTTTGTTTTTTGTTAACAAAATCCATATTCCCATTTGCCACCAAACCTTTTGCTTTTATAACAACCCGGCCCAATTCAATACAAACCACTTGTTTACTTGAACCATAATGAAATTAAAACTAGTGTGCCAAATCCAATCAGGCAGAAAAAACCCATAAAGGAATAAGCCAAAATCTCACATTTAGTCAAAACAAAACAACCAAACAACAAACAACCATTTAGTCCTCACATGGTTATTATCTGCATCATCCTCACTCAATTCAAGAAGAAGATGCAAACTTGGAACCACAAAGTCCACAAAAATGGAAAAAAAAATTTGTAATCTGAAAAGAAATGCTAGAATAATTGATAGACCTAGGTCTACAGGCCCTGATCAATGAGGTAATCCCCCAACCTTTCCACAATCATGTTGCACTGCCCTGGAGTCACAGGTTCTTCATAGATCCCAAAAACCAGAGCTTGAGCTGTCTTCTTTATGGTGACACCTCCAGATCCCTGACAAACCAAAATACGAGTATTTTTTTTCACAAAACCATTATAAAATATGACTAGTTGCCTTTAAATTAGACTAAGAAAATGCAGAAAGCTCATGAAAAACTTTGACAAGGTCTGGTTCTTTGAATTTGAAGTTTCAGATTTCCAAGCTTGCACCAAACATTTAATATTATCAACTGAGCAACGTTTTAAACTACTGAATTAAAATAAAAAACTTTCAAGTTGTTAAATTAAAGCAAGATACAAAAACCTGAACCTGTAAAAATGAAACCTTAATTATAGTGGATTCTGAAGTGGCAAAAGAGACATTTAGAAAGGTAAAGATGAATTGCTTAGATAACTATGTCTATGCTCAGAAGTGATTGAAAGGTTAGAGTGAATTACTCATTCATTAATACTTAATAAAAAATCATTGTAATTTAAGGATAAGTAACATATTAATATAGCCATATACATCACCTTCTTTCCACGAATGACAGCTCCAGCTTCTCCCTGGATTACCATGTACTTTGTGCCCCCCAGAAATAAGCCAATTGGGGCAAGGTGACCTGGCTGCTCGAAATCTTTGTTGATATTTGTGATTTCCTCAGGCTTGCACTGCAAACACCAAAACAAAAACCACACCATTTAGCAAATCCTCCAAATCTGAAAATATCAAGATATGTAGACAACCCTTAAATGTTGCCACTTTCAGGCACTAATATTTAGAAATTAGGATACAAATAAACAAGAATTACGGACCCCAATAAAATTTTTACCATGAAAAGAGCATTACTGAGATTGCAAAAGAGATATATGCAACAAGACTTATTCAATTAGGGATCAGTCATATCCCTCCCATACCAAACTTGCAGCACGATTTTGATGTCCACATATACATTTATACATAAAATCCTGATTGATCGAAACATATTTGAACCCAAAAATTTTATTCAGTTGATTAAGTAATTCGCGTTTAGAACGTTAATGAATTGATCCCCACAATAGATCCCTACAACAATCAAGATACATATTTTTACATAATGAAAAATAAAAAAGCATAACAATGGGACCATCAACGGGTGGTCCTGCATTCACGGGAATGAAGGTTACCTTAGGGAAGGAAGAGCTCTGGGCCCAAACACTACCATCAAGACCAATGACTGCAGCAGCAGTGAGGTGCTGGCCATCGATGTCACACATCAAATGGTCATCTACGTATGTTTGCCAAGACATTTTTGTGCTCTCTCTGTGTGTGTAATGTTATCTGGTTTCTCTGTTTTGTGTTTGGAGAAGAGATTTGATTTGGTTTGGTTTTGGTTAGTTTGATAGAAATAAAGAGAGAGCGAGAATGATGATGGATTAGTAGGCGTCCGTTAAGCTCTGCTTAAGAAGTGCCATTCACCTCCGCATTCTACGCTCTTACGTGTTTCACAATCCACACTTTCTGTTAAATCAACCATTTTATGTCCCAAATTACCCCAACGTATCCACGGTCAAACCATGACACACATTGCCCTTTATAATCACATAATAAACATAGTTAAAATGTAATTCCTTAAAACAATATGTATAACTATATCTACAAATTTAAAAGCTTATTCAATTATTAATACAACTTATATTCTTGCAAAAATAAATTCAATTCCTGATACCGCATTACTTTAAAAGATTTGCATAGAATCGATGCAGAAATACATCTGTAAACAGTTCCATTTGCATCAATCAATGGTGTTTTTGCTAGTTTTTTCTACAAAGGAACTCTTGGGAAAACACAATCAGAAACGTTAAATGAAAACACAAAACAAAAACTTATCACAAGTGCTATTGATTGTCTGCTCTTGTTCTGTCGAAAATAAACTCCCTCTGTTAGTGGGATCATTTAAAAAAAAAATGGTGAGGAAGTTGCAATAACATGTCAATATTCTGGTTCAGTATGCGATTACTGAAAGTAACAACCATTGTGATTATCCATTAAGTCTGTACGATCTTCCACTGAAAGCCGCACCAGTTGCCCTTTCAGGCGGGGCAGTAGACTGACCACGGTTGACGGATGGGGCTCCAATTCTCCACCTTGCAACAAGTTTATGTCTATAAAAGTTAAGAAATAGCAGCAATCAACAAAAATCATGTACTAGCGATTCATTTTTTGCTTTGCACAGAGTACTATGAGATTATTGTAAATTAATGACCATGGGAAAAATATGGGTTAAAGTGTTGCTGATTCACAGTCTCATTATGAACGGGAAAGAAACTTGGAATAATACAATAAGATAATATGCTGTATGGTTATGCATGAGATATATGGATCAGTGTTGGTGACTCATCAGGTAATGACAGAAATGATTTTCGTGGTGCAGCAGAAAAGATGAGCTGGAAAAAGATTAAGGACATCATATTGTACATGCATGTATGTCCAATGTCCATGACTGCAATAATTCCCTTGTACAATGGAAAAGGATTAGCAGAAAACAGACTAAGATTGATATAACTCTGTGTGTGAGTTGGGTGGGGGTGGGGGGGACGGGGTGGGGTGGGGGGGTGGGTGTGGTTGTGAGAAAGAGAGAAGATGGCTTTCATGATGGTTTCACATTCAGCACCATATGCTAAACAATACTCCGAACTGCATAACTTTTCACACTAAGAAACCAAGCAAAGTAAGGATACACCCATTTCGGAGTCTTCAATAAGTTCTTTCCAGTTGAAAGTGGATGCAACACTGTCAAAAAGTAATATAGATGTCCTGCGATGATTCCCAGCAGGTCTGACATCAGAGGTGAACCAAAAACAACATCCAAAGCCAGCATTGCCCATGGTAGATAAAATGCCTACAAATTAAAAAGAAAAATGAATATGACAGTCCAAGCTAGCTCATAAAACAAATCCAAGAAACCACCCCATTGCATTCATCCTCAAAACTATAGCTCACATACCTTAAGCGTCACGAGGCCATATATATTAATTTGGGCATTCGGAAATTCTCTACTCCAGACATAGATAAGCATAAAAACAAGGGATATCCCCAAATAGCCAGTCTGAAATATGGGGATGGCTGACAACACCTTGAATCCAGAAGACAAGTACCACCAAACAATGACGTTAGCAAGGCAAAATGGTCAAAGATGCTCAGAATTCATAAAGTACAAAGTCACACAGAGCTGATCATTACAACTACAGTCACTATATATTCAAATTATTCACACCAAACACAAAAGATCAAAAAAGGCAATAGAATTGTTCCTTTTTTTTTTTTTTTTTTTCTTGAAAAAGGGTATTTGCATTTTTTGCTTTAGAACCAAAATTTCAAGACTCCAGCTCATATGAGCTTGTGCCACTTAACTAATTAGTCATCTGCATAGTGAATCATCTTTAAGGAAAAAGATCAGTAAAACATTAAATCAGAAAGCTGAACAAGATGAAGGCACACACCAGCAATGACAAGGCTCCAAATATCATCATCCACAAAAAGTCTGCTGTACGTCTGTCGAACGGTCCCTTCTCTAGGTTAACTCCATATCTCGCTCTGTAAAGTTAATAAGAATTACCACGCAAGTTAATGCCGAGGAGAAAAAACAAAAGAAAAATGAAAAATCCACACACATGTTATCAAATTACCACATGGTTGTCATAGCGGAAAGCCACTGGAGTTGCACAATAAAATCAAACTATTTTGATGCTCCGAATTGAAAGTTTTCAAGATATAATACTTACATCATCAGAAGGCGGATCCCAAAATTGATTGAGAAAAAACCAATGAAAAAGAAATTTGTAAACAGCCTCCACACCTATGATTGCAAGTCAAATATAATAAGAAAGTCTACAGGATAATCGAGAAAGAAATTGAAATGTTTTTGTTAACTGAGATCTCATATCAAACTCCAAAAGAAGATACCAACAAAGCCAATCCATAACAGTGCAAATTTGCTGGTATGTTAAGAGCATATGGGTCTATAATTGAGTGTGTGTGCGTGTGTGTGTGTGTGTGTGTGTGTGAGTGTGTGTGTGTGTGTGTGTGCGCGCATGCGCTAGAAAGAGAGAGAGGGAGATTGAATGGAATATGTTCAGGGTCATTTGACAAATCTCAAAAAGGGACTGGCTTGGTTTGCAGATTGTTTCTGGCACATATTTAACCAACAACATGGGAAACACAAATTTCTAGCATTCTGCCATATAGATGCTATGGGAAACACATATATAGTACCCAGTTATACACTTAGGAGCCAAATATCAGTTTAAAATATAAAAATAAAAAGTTGTTTTAAAGTTCGAATTCTCACTAGAGAACTTTGTGGAAATTTGAAAACATCCTTCCCCAGGAAAACAAAGAGTTTTACACCTCAAGGAAATGAGATAAGCACAGCCTTAATATTCAAACACTGTCGAATTGTAAGAGTTTAAATATTTGATATCCTTATGCCAGTTAGAACTATCAGATTGGTACAAGCTATTTTCCAATCCATATACCCTGAACATAATGCAAACGTATTTCAAACACAATCTGGCTATTTGTTCTTTTAAGAACTAGCTCAGCACACAAGAGACGTGATACTCAGAAATTCATGCAAGCTAAACCATCTTCTCAGAAAATATATTTATAACAACAAAGCATTGAATCATAATAAAAGATAAAATTATCCATCAACATCTGTACAAGCCTACTTAGTTAAAATTGTCGGAACATAAACTTCAGAACAATTGGGATATTTTTTTCTTCCAACATCAATAGAATAATCTAGCTAATGGTTTGTAATTCATTAAAATAGAACCCAAACCTGAAGACGTAAAAAGACTAGCTCATAGTCTAATCCAAGATAATTAGGATTCAATAATCTGAGCTGACAAGCTGTAGTGACTGCAAGGCACAATGTCCCATAAGCCTTGCATATTGGTGGAAGTGAGTTATAAAATCTGAAAAAGGAAGAACAACAAGGATTAGACAAATAAAAAATTGTCACTGAAACTATTTCAATTCTTAAAACAAAAATAACATTGAAAAAACCCAGAGTAGAGACTCAAATAGCATGGAAAGCAAAGCTCTGCTATTTCACATACTGTCAGGGAAGTAAAGCATTGAACTAATGGTTAAAATCAAAGCACGCACTATAATTGAGATTCTACACCACAACAAGATATCTTGTTTGATAAGCATGTTCTTTTTGCTTAGTTTTCGTCATTTCTTATTTTTGTACCCTTAGTTTTGCAATAACATAGAAGCAAGCAAACAGAAATCCATCTTGGTCAGCTAGCTGCCACTCGGCAAACTAAAATCTAACAACTGCAACGCTTAACTTTGACTTGCATATGTAAAGACGAAAAACAAACAAAGTTGCAGTGTGAAGATAACAAACCCTTAACGAAGTCTTAAAATTAACTACATAATAAAATAATAACGCTTGAATTTGAATCGGCGAACCCACACTTACAAACCTATCAAGTCCAATACCATAAACCATGTTTGAATTTGAGTATTACATTAGGTAATGAATTAGTAACATAAAAACACGAATAGAAGTGAATTTTCAAGAAAATAAAGACCCAAGTTAATAGTATGAATATGAAGACAAAGAGAAAAGGGTAATACTCAGCAGGTGTAGACATTGGCGACCCAAGAAGCTAATTCAGCTGAAAACCCAGTTTTAGATCTTCCCTTTAAGTGGTGTTAATGGATTGTTTACCCAAGAGTTGAAAACCGGTTGTTAAAAGTTAATAGCATAGGATGTACCAACCAGAAGGTTCTGTAGTAGTCCATCAATCCATTGTATGTGTATTTTATTGAGTAAACCACATGTTCCCACCCAAAGATTAGCGAAAACCCAGTTCCCACCTCTAGTTTCATTTATTTCAATACCCACCCTTAAATTAACACTGTTAATGATTTTTAGGTTCGGGCCAATATGTGAATGTTATTACCAAGCTATCCTTACCAATAAATTACTTTTTAACCCAAACACATTTGGATTTTTTCGACAGTCGCAAGGGAGGGAAAAATCAAGAGAAAATGCTCATATCTGACCAAAATGGAAGCGAACGAGGCTGAGGGATTGATGGGTTTTGTCAAGGATAAGTGGGGGAAGTTAGTGGTGGTGGCAGTGATGTCAAACGACGTCAAAATCTGGCTAGATCTGGATTTTTTCGACAGCTGCGAGGGAGGAAAATATTGAGAATAAAAGGCTCAGATCCGACTAAAATGGAGGCGGACGAGGCTAGGGGATGGATGGGCTTTGTCGGGGATGAGTGGGGGAAGCTGGTGGTGATGGCAATGATGTTAAATGACGCTAGAATCCAGTTAGATTTGGATTTTTCTGACAGCCGCGAGGGAGAGGAAAATTGCAAAGAAAATGCTCATATCCGTTCAAAATGGAGGCGAACGAGGCTGAGGGATGGATGGGTTTTGTTAAGGATAAGTGGGGGAAGTTAGTGGTGGTGGCAGTGATGTCAAACGGCGTCGGAATCTGGCTAGATCTGGATTTTTTCGGCAACCGCGAGGGAGGAAAATATCGAGGATAAAAGGCTCAAATCCGACCAAAATGGAGGCGGACAAGGCTGGGGGGATGGATGGGCTTTGTCGGGGATGAGTGGGGGGAAGTAGTGGTGATGGCAGTGATGTTAAACGACACCAGAATCCAGTCAGATCTAGATTCTTCTGACAGCCGCGAGGGAGAGGAAAATCGCAAAGAAAAGGCTCATATTCGGTCAAAATGGAGGCGGACGAGGCTGAGGGATAGATGGGTTTTGTTGGGGATGAGTGGGGGAAGTTAGTAGTGGTGGCAATGATGTCAAACAATGCCAGAATCCGACCAAATATATATTTTTCCAACAGCCACAAGGGAGGGGAGTGATGAGGGGTGCTTGTGAGAGAAATTTAAGGTGTAAAGGTTTATTTTAAAATTTTTATTTTTATTTAAGATTTAATGCAATTCAAATGATCATTTTACCCATTAACCGTCAGATTAAATGATTTTCTGTTAATTTAAGGGTGGGAATGTAGAATGAATGAAACCAGGGGTGGGAACTAAATTTTGCTAAGCCATAGGGGGGCAGATGTCGTTTATTTTATTTGTTGTGTTATCCCACGTGTAAACCAGTGGGATTGAACTTTGGGCGTTGTTATTGAAAGCTTATAGTCATTCACTAATTGGGCCATTTGGTTACAATTATGAGCATATGTCTTTCTGATAATGAGGGAACTTATTGAATCAAACCTAAAGTCCACAACATCCGAATAACAACGTAGAGCATAGGCCTTCTTGATAATGAGGGAACTTACTGAATCAACCCTAAAGTGATTACGATTTCCTTTTTCATTCAAAATATATGTTAAATCACACTCTTTTTTATTCTCATTTTAATAAACTAAAGTTCGAAGTTATTGAAACTCCTTTCCTCTCTCATTTGTATCCCTTCATTCACTTCTTGTGTAAAACTCTCTATTATTTATAAATCCTAAATAAAGAACAAGTAAAGATGGAGCACGATGAGGTTATATGGCAAGTTATCAGGCACAAAACAATCACTGCAATTTCTTGGCCAAGTGAGTCTTCTGCTTGACCAGGTATACACTGCTTCTTATGTCTCAAGATATATCTTCCACTTGATTGGGAATTACAAACAGCTACTGTCAAAGAGTGCTGAATAGCTCCATAGACTCCTAATTTGATTAAAAGTAAATGGTTCCTGGTGAAATTGTTGACTTACATATCATGATAGCATATGTTCATGGTTCCAGTAAATTATGGCTTAATTGTGGTAACACTTAAGACTTGATAGTTGATAGTACAAGTTTGCTGACAGTTGTTTGTGTCAAAAATGATTCAAACAATCTTATATGCAAATGTCTCATAATTGTTATTTTTTGAACTGAAACAAAATTTTGGAAGCGATTGTCATTGGCCATGGCACATTCTGTTTCTGCATGGTTAAGTTGACATCAATACAATTCAAGCGAATCTTGATATCTCAAATTAAATTTTCTCAGGTTGAGCAAGAAGATGCAGATGAGAGACAAAAGACGGTCCACTGAGAGTGTCAAGTCTATTGCTTAAATTTAATTTCTTACCGAGTAACAGTGTCAATTTTACAGTCATAAGATGTAACTGCACAATTGGTAATGAGAGGAAGCGCAATTGTTCTATTGTTGAGTTGCACTAGTATGCAAAATTTTGACCCAATGTTTGAGCGATACTTTCTTGCTCATCATTCACTTCTATTTCGTTTTTCCAATATTTGTATTGGATCTGAGTTGAGGAGCTGAATTCTTTATTGCTCATAGCTAGTTCTTGCTTCACTTTTTCAATTATCTTGTTGGTAGTAGAAACGAAAGATGAATTGGAATTTCTTATGTGAATGTATTCTAATTATTGATACTTATGTGTGAGAGGAAACTATCATGGACATATTTCTTTCTTGGAAGTTGATTTTACATTTACCTTACCCGCTTTGAGTTGAAAAAACAAAAAAACATACTCAAGACCCCAAATAATACTTCCCTTGTATTGTACAATAGAAGAAAAGTATTATGTGAATTTTTTCTTCAAAAAAACAAAAGGCAATCATGTTTGTTTGTATCAGGCAAGTAAAGCATTGAACTAAAGCAAAAAAACAGGAGCTCTGCTATTTCACAGATAGCATAGAAAGCAAAAGCAAGAGCTTTGCTATTTCACACTGATAGGAACTCCTGCCAAAATGAATCAAACCCAAGCAAACAACACCCAAAATAACAGATTACAATTGAACAACAAACTTATATTAATCAATAGAGGAGTAAAACAAGTATTGAAGAGCAAAATAGACCAAATCAATAAAGTAAACACAAAACAAGGATAATTCCTAGCAATTCGAGGAGCTAGGGACCTCTATTGATAAAGCTTTGATGAAAATACTTAACCCTTCCCCAAGACTCTTCCTAACTATATATACTAGTTATTTTACTGATTTATCCCCACTCTAATCATTCCTTTTAACCTGCCACGTCGAGATTCCCATAACAAACTCCCATTACCACCCATCTACCTTTAGTGTCTTTTATGCCACCTCAACTTGTAGACCTTAGTAATAGGCGGTCTATAAATACCCCCCCTTGAAGAGCCACCTTGTCCTCAAGGTGAAATTAAGGAAACCATGTTTTGATTACATCAAATGGCTCCCATGTAGCTTCAAAGGGATGTAAGTCCTTCCATTTAATGAGAACATCTTTAGAACCATCAAGAAAGGTATGCACTGACAAAACATAAGCTAGTTGAACCTGAAGCTCCAGGTCTTCTATGAGAAAATAAGGTAGTAGTTGATGGATACGTGTTGTAGGAGGGAGATCCAGCTTATAAGCAACGTGTTCAATTTTGTCCCCAACAGCAAAAGGACCATAAAACCTAGGACTGAGCTTTTCATTTAGTTTTTTGTATGGCTAGAGTTTTAGATACATATAATCTCCTGGTGTGAAATTGATATGTCTTCGATGAAGATCAGCCTACTCCTTCATGTGGCCTTGAGCTACTTCTAGGTTGTGTTTGAGCTCATTCAGGATGGCATTTTTGTCAAGTATTTGTTAGTTAACATCTTCTACTAGGGAAGGATAATCGGTGAATTTGAGGAGAATAGGAGGATCTCTCCCATACAAGGCTTTAAACGACATCATTTTAATACAACTATGGTAAGTAAAGGTGGCAGTGAGTCGTGTTGTGCCAAAATTTTCGTAGCCCACTGTGCTACGGATCGTGTCATGCCGTGCCAAACAACCAAAACTCAAGGCTCAAGGCACGGCCCATGGCTCGGTGGGCCGTGCCATGCCTTCATGGATCAGCCTAGGCTTTTCTCAAAAAATTTAAAAATTTTGATTTTGTTAAAATTTTAAAATTTTTAAAACGTTTAAATTTTTAAAATTACATTTTATAAAAAACAAGGACGGTACCTTTGAAATTTTATTAATGCTTCACTTATGACGGACGAATATTGTGGTTACATGATGAAATTAATCCAACAAAATAAAATAAACCTATGCTATGCATAGAAAAATAAACTTATATGTTACATGTACATGTATCATACATTTTCACTTTCATCCGTATCTAAATTTTTGAAAACTTCTAATATATCATCAGCAACAATTCTTCAATAGTGGCTCGTGCTAATTCATCCAACAATTCTTCAATAGTGGGTATGTGAAACTTGTTAGGGATAGTTATACCATTAAGGGCCCTATAGTCTATACAAAAACGCCAACTGCCATCCTTTTTCTTAACTACCAAAATTAGACTAGCAAAAGGATTGGTGCTAGGTTGGATGATTCTTGCCACCAACATTTCTCCCCGCATTCACTCAATCTCATTCTTTTGGAAATAGGGATATTTATAAGGTCTTATATTTGGGGGTTGAGCTCCATCTTTGAGAACTATGGCATGGTCATGTTGTCTTTTGGGAGGAAGTTTAGTAGGCTGGTCAAACAAATGGGTCATGCTCTTCCAACACTAAGGCTACCCTTGGATCCACTGATTCTCCTATCTGCTCTGGTTTATACTCAATGGAGCAAAATTCGACTAAATAACCACCTCCTGAAGTGTATAATGATCTCAGCATGGCATTGAGAGACACCACTGTCTTAATTAGGGGGGGATCTCATTGTAGAACCACTTGTTTGCCTTCAACTTCAAACTTCATCGTCAAATTTTTCTAGTTTCCCCAAACATCTCCTAGTGAGCTCAACCAAGTAACCCCCAAAACTACATCGGTCCCACCCAAATCAA